ACCTTCGAGAGTGATGTGGCGAGTATGAAGGCCGAGATTGAGAAGTTGCAAGCTGACGCCCATGCTATCAAAATGGATTCACTGAAGAAGTTTACGCAAGGTTTTGATGCGGCGACTTCTCAGATAAAATTTCTGCATGCCGATCTCGACATTGGGGGAATGGGCTACTTGAAGGAGATTGTGAATGGTGAACTGGTGGATCCTCCCGAGGATGACTGAGTGCTGCCTCATAATGTTGTTTTTACCTTTAAATTTTCATGTTTTTTGTTGATGGTTTGTATGGACTATTGTGACCCTTTGCTTTTATAAAAATCTGTGTGTTTCCTTTGATATGAGTTGAGATATGAGTTGAGTGACTTGGTGCGTGCGAAAATATTGATCCTTTGCCGGCCAATTGCAAAATTTTTTCTAAGTTAAAAAAAAAATGAATACCAGAGCGTCTAATCGCCCATACTCCGACTAGAAAAATTGCAGAATTTTTTCTAAGTTACAATGAATAGCAAGGCATGTAGTCGCCCAAAATCCGACTAGCAAAAATTGCAGAGTTTTTTCTAAGTTAAAATGAATACCAAGGCATCTAATCGCCAAAAATCCGACTAAAAAAAATCGAAGAATTTTTTCTAAGTTAAAATGAATAGCAAGGCATGTAGTCGCCCAAAATCCGACTAGCAAAAATTGCAGTTTTTTCTAAGTTAAAATGATTACCAAGGCATCTAATCTCCAAAAATCCGACTAAAAAAATCGAAGAATTTTTTCAAAGTTAAAATGAATAGCAAGGCATGTAGTCGCCCAAAATCTGACTAGAAAAAATTGCAAAATTTTTTCTAAGTTAAAATGAATACCAAGGCATCTAATCGCCAAAAATCCGACTAAAAAAATCGAAGAATTTTTTCTAAGTTAAAGAATGAATACCAAGGCATTAGTGGAATTTATCCATGCGAATGGTCGTCCAAATACCGAGTCGAAGAGAGTAGTGGAATTTATCTAAAAGTTGATCCTCAGCGCGAGAAGTTTTTTAATTCTCAATTCATTCTCTTTTCTGAAGTTTCAAAATGTGAAAGCTATTTATAAAATTTTCAGAACCTGATAATCGATTATTTTAAAGGATAATCGATTATTTTGTTCTTCATGATTTCTGGAAATCACTCAAGAACAAAATAATCGATTATTTTGCAGGATAATCGATTATTACAAAGAGTGCTTCTCGGAATGTTCATGCAAGTAAGGATGCCATCAAGTGGTATCTAGAGCCTTGGTTCTTCAAGGGTAACATTCTCTTTATCTCTAAATATATTCGGTCATGTCATGTCTTCCTTAAATGTCTTCTAAGTGTGCTTAAATGAATCATCATAATTGCCATATTTTGATGATCCATAAATCTCATCTCATGTGTTGATTCATACCATATATTCCTTGTGAATCATCTTGGCATTTTAGGCTTTCTTATTTAGGTTCTTGCCTTTTTCTTTAAATTTTTGAGTTTCTGGAAATTTTGGGCTGCATGATATATTAATGCTTTTTATTTTTTTAATCCATCTAGTTTTGTCATAAGCTTGTCTCTTTGAAATACCTTGAAAAGAAATTCCAAGTTTTTATGCTTAACCATTGAAATGAGAAAAATATGACATGCATGCCATATGTTTGATGAATTGGCCGTCAACTTATATGTTCTTTAGAGAGTCAATCATGCATGCTAATTAGTTCTAGCATGTTCTGTTAGAAAAGATTGGCTCAATCCAAGAGGGGGGTGAATTGGATTCTATGACACTTAAAATTTTTTCAGAGTTCTAAGGATCTTTATTTCAACTTAAACTTTTCTAATATGAATTCTCAAACAAGTTCCTTGAAATACTTGCTAATGGGAATGAGTCTTATATGCTTTCTTAATTAATCTTGATAAAGTTCAATGTTAAGAACACTTAATATGCAACACTTTCATTCAGTTTAAAGTAATGTTGTGCATACAAACATATTAATCAAGATTATTCACTTTAACACTCAACCAAGATTTTGCTCAAAGTAAAAGATAAGAGTGAGAGAGAAGAATGCACAAGTCTTTTATCCTGGTTTAGCCACTCCACATGTAACCTACATCTAGTCCTCAATCATAACCTGATCAAGATTTGTTCCACTATCTTAATGAAGAAGTTTTACAAGCATACAACACATGCATATACTCCTACATTCAAGATAACCACTTTCTTGCCCCCAAGAAAGCACTTCTTGTAGAAACTCACTACAAGAATTCCTTACCACTTGAGACACCTACTCAAGATTTCCCTTACACTTTTCACAAAGAATTAAAGGAACAAATTCACCTGGAAGCTGAACAAATCAGACTGTGAATTCCAAAAGCAAATATTAATCTTTCTCTCCCAAGAATGTAATGATGATGATGATCTCTTTCAAAGCATTCTTAGTCCTCAATCATAACCTGATCAAGATTTGTTCCACTATCTCAATGAAGAAGTTTTACAAGCATACAACACATGCATATACTCCTACATTCAAGATAACCACTTTCTTGCCCCCAAGAAAGCACTTCTTGTAGAAACTCACTACAAGAATTCCTTACCACTTGAGACACCTACTCAAGATTTCCCTTACACTTTTCACAAAGAATTAAAGGAACAAATTCACCTGGAAGCTGAACAAATCAGACTGTGAATTCCAAAAGCAAATATTAATCTTTCTCTCCCAAGAATGTAATGATGATGATGATCTCTTTCAAAGCATTCTAAAATTTTTTACTTCTTGGTTTCACAAAGAAAACACTCCAAGAAGGTCACAAAGACTTCACAATATGGTTTTTCTCTTTTTAATTCTCAATTCATTCTCTTTTCTGAAGTTTCAAAATGTGAAAGCTATTTATAAAATTTTCAGAACCTGATAATCGATTATTTTAAAGGATAATCGATTATTTTGTTCTTCATGATTTCTGGAAATCACTCAAGAACAAAATAATCGATTATTTTGCAGGATAATCGATTATTACAAAGAGTGCTTCTCGGAATAATTGATTATTTCACAAATAATCGACTATTACAACAATGCTTCTTTTCACCTGTTGCTAGAATAATCGATTACATTTAATGATAATCAATTATTTTGAGTTAGTTTTCAAAATCTCAATTTTATACATCAAAAAATCTTTCCAAGTATTTAAATCATCATCATTCTCACTCTTAGTCAATTTTAGATTAAAATTAACTCATGCACAAAGCACACACATGCAAAATGAGCTAATCAAACCAATACAACTCATAAGCCAGAGCATTCAAAAGTGTAATCTGCCTTCTCAACTCTAGGGTTTTGGGTTTTATGGTGAGTTGTTCGTGGGCCTCTTGGACCCCGAGGATCAAGGGATTTTCCTAACCATTCTTATCACGTCGATGCGGGATTAGCGGGAACGAACTTAGTCGGGATCCGACCGACAGGGCCTATACTGAAAGTCCAGCGAGGTACATGCCGAGCGGTCCCCTTGTAGGCGAGAAGAATCGAGCTTGCCAGGTCAAGTCGGGCCATGACCGAATAGGCTCGTACTGAGCCCTCCTCCGGGTTGATGCCAAAAAGGAGATCGCGGTCGCCTTATTTCCGAGTGCCCCTAAGGCGAGAAGGTTTAGGGCCTGGAGGCCTAGTCGGGTAATTGTCGAGTGTAGGGACGTTAACACTATCACCATTAAGGAGATCAAGTCGGTCCATGACCGAGACGATACAATTGTCATTCATGATCTTGTTAAGATAAGTAACGATAATTCAAATTTATCCAAATATAAAATTTTAAATAATTTTTTATTCAATTTGGTCTTATTATTTTTAAAATATTTAATTTGGTCATCTAATTTTCAATTTTTTTTTAATGTTGTTCTGATATAATTTTATTAACGTCATTAGTGTTAATATGGACGAAAGTATAACATTCACTTTTTTTAAAAAATAAATAAAGGACTAAATTGAATCCTTTAAAAATAGTGGGAATAAATTGCTTCCTAAAAATAAATAGAATGATTAAAAATATAATTTATCCTATTATCTTTAATTAAAAATTATTGATGTTTGCTTAAAATTAGAGAAAAGATCAAATTATTCTAAGTAACTCTTGATAAAGTTACTTCACTCAATAACTTATGATGAGTGTTGAATTTCAATAATTCAATCGTTAAATTAAATTTTTTTAATATATAGATCAAGTCTACAAAATTTTAAAAAATTTAAAAGTTATATGATACTTTATTTCATTAATTCAAATTAATGCACACTCATAAAAATATTTTATACGATGATTGAAATTTATATAACAAAGTATTACATAATTTTCAAATTTATAGTAAATACATATAATAAATAATAAATATTTTAATTTATAAAATATCAATAGCTTAAAGAAAAATGGACTAAAACATGTATAATTTTAAGGAAAAATAGCTGTAATAATTTTCAAATAATCAGGAATAGTAGCTAACAATCTGATTAAGCATTAAAAAAAATGGCTTAACTATTTTTTAGTTTGTTAAATTTTAGGAAAATTTATTTCTAATCTCTCAACTTTAAAATTAATTATTTTAATTACTCAAATTTAAACATCACATTAACCCAACGGATGATACAGAACAATCTAAATTAAAACATCATATTAAGCTTGTGTCGAATAGCTCTTTGAAAACAAATTTAATCTGTCTTATCATGTTTTTTTTTATTGCTTTTTACTCCTTTTAATATAAGCTTCTACTCATGGTGGTTAAACGTGTGTTATGAATGATTAATTTGTAATTTTTAAATATATTATTAATGATGTGAGGAATTAAAATATATTTTTTGAAAATTAAAAATAATAATTTTAAAGTTAAGAATTTTTTTTTTTTATAAAAAAAGTCAAAATTCGTGGATTAAAAACAATTTTTATTTAAAAAAAAAAAAAAAGAGTTGTTGGCACGATTAAAAAGCAGAGGAAATGAAATGCGAGGGAGAGAATAAAAAAGGAAATAAGCGCGAGAAAGAAGGTGGCACGCTGTCCGCGTGGGCAACGGTGCAGCGCGGCAAGCTCTCTCTTTCTATAAAAAACCTTCTAAACTCTCGCCCTGCCTTTCAACTCCAATTCCAACGGTTATCGTTATCAGTTCGTTTCTCCCCCTTTTCTCTCCCTCTGACACCTTCTGGGTTTTCCATTTTCCCTCATTTCCCGCACCCGCATTATCTCATCTCCTCGGAAAATGGACGTTCGCCGGCGACCCCTCCCCTCCTCCGGCGACCGACTCAAAACCCAGAAGCTCAAGAACACCGAATCCCAATCACTCTTCCCTCTCTACCTCACCAACGCCCTCTTCTTCACGCTCTTTTTCTCCGTCGCCTACTTCCTCCTCCACCGCTGGCGCGATAAGATCCGCACCTCCATCCCCCTCCACGTCGTCACCCCGGCCGAGATTGCCGCCATCGTCTCCCTCATCGCCTCCGCCGTCTACCTCCTTGGCTTCTTCGGCGTCGCCTCCCGCGCCTCCCTCGACGAGCTCTCCGACGATGAAATCATCCTCAAAGAAGACTCCCGCGCCCCGGGCCCCTGTCCCGCGGCGCTCGTCGAGTCTTCACCGGCAAAGGCAAAACAATTTCCTCTGCAGTCATGTGTCGACAGTCTAAATGTGACAGAAAAAACTAAAATTTCTCTGTCGCATAAGACTCTCGATAGAGTTGCAGAGGAAAAAGAAGTTCCTCTGCGGCATAAAACTGTCGACAGTCTGGCGACAAAGGAGTTGTCAATTCCTTTGCCGCTAAAAACTGCTGACGTGGCAGGGCCGATTTCGTTGTCCCATGAGGACGAGGAAACCGTACAGGCGGTGCTGTCGGGGTCGGTTCCGTCGTACTCGCTGGAGTCGCGGCTGGGGGATTGCCGGCGGGCGGCGGCGATTCGGCACGAGGCGGTGCAGAGGCTGACGGGGCGGTCGCTGGAGGGTTTGCCGGTGGCGGGGTTCGACTACGAGTCGATATTGGGGCAGTGCTGCGAGATGCCGATAGGGTTTGTGCAGATTCCGGTGGGGGTGGCGGGGCCGTTGTTGTTGGACGGGGAGGAATACACTGTGCCTATGGCCACCACCGAAGGGTGTCTCGTTGCGAGCACCAACAGAGGGTGCAAGGCTATTCACGTTTCCGGTGGAGCTTCCTCTGCGTTGCTTAGGGATGGCATGACCAGAGCACCCGTTGTTCGGTTTCCCTCTGCTCAGCGTGCCGCGCAGTTGAAGTTCTTCTTGGAGGATCCTCTCAACTTCGATTCGCTCGCTGTCGTTTTCAATAAGTACTCTTCTTCTCTCTTTCTCCCACGCTTTTTACTTTTCGCCATGTTTTAATGTTGGTATTGCCAAAACCATGAGCTGATATCTCTCGTATGATTATGACCACGATAGTGATCCGCACCGTGGATATTAGGGAAAGATAACTTTAGGTTAGGCCTTTCTATTTTTTATATTATATTTATTTCGAGGTTCCATTGTTTCGTGTGAAGATTAGGGGAAAATAGTAAGCAAAGGAGTATTAATTTTTTATGCAATTTTATATTTATGATTAGGGGAGATAGTAAGCAGAGAAATATTAAGTGTTGTTTTTTTTGGGAATTGGAGGATAAAATAGTATTTCATGCACGAGTTTTGTTGTTGACTTAATTCTCAAGATTAGAGTATTCAGTGTGCAATAGGAGGATAAAATATTTTATGCATAAGCTATTACTTTTTGTGTTTATTGTAGGGTGTCCTTATAAATTTACCTGGGTGGAACTGTTATCACCTTTTGTTTTCAAGAATTATTACAAGCCATGATTAATAGGGGTTTTGTGAAGTTTGATTAATGTTTAATGGATCTGTGCAGGTCAAGCAGATTTGCCAGGTTACAGAGTATTCAGTGTGCTATTGCGGGCAAGAATTTGTACATGAGATTCCGTTGCAGCACTGGCGATGCCATGGGGATGAACATGGTGTCAAAAGGTGTTCAAAATGTCCTTGATTTTCTTCAGAGTGACTTCCCCGACATGGATGTTATTGGAATCTCTGGTAAACATGACTTTTATGTCTTTTTTACTTTTCTCACCTGCACTTTTCTTTGCCATGGTTGAAAGCAGTTACTGAAATTGGCACATACCCTGTTGCTTGTGTCAGGAAATTTCTGTTCAGACAAGAAAGCTGCAGCTGTGAACTGGATTGAAGGGCGTGGCAAGTCAGTGGTGTGTGAGGCTGTAATCAAGGAAGATGTGGTTAAGAAGGTATTGAAGACTAGCGTGGAGGCCCTAGTCGAGCTTAACATGCTTAAAAACCTTACAGGCTCAGCCATCGCAGGTGCTCTTGGTGGGTTCAATGCTCATGCTAGCAATATCGTGTCTGCTATCTATATTGCCACTGGTCAGGATCCTGCTCAGAATGTGGAGAGTTCTCACTGCATCACCATGATGGAAGCTGTCAATGATGGCAAGGATCTTCATATTTCTGTGACCATGCCCTCAGTTGAGGTATAATCCTTCTCTGGTCTTAAATCATGTATATGTGACCGTAGAATATTGTTTACAATGTAGTGGGGTATTTGATTGTACCGAGAGATCCAAGTTGTGGTCCCGTTACACAATATTATGTTAAGGGATTTGAATTGTGTATAAAGAAAACTTAGATTGGGAGTGGACAACCCATCTTTTTCCTTCAAATCTCCATAAGGAGATTAATTAGTCTTGGTAAACAACAAGAGATGCTCCTTGCATATGCGTATTAAAGAAGGAAAATATATATATATATATATATATATATATATAAAAGCGTGCCTTGCACTTTGTTGTGTTGACACATGATTAAGGTAGTGAGCTGGTGGTTGGTCCTTCCTTTGCCAATCTTTAGATCGTGGATCCAACTCCTTGAAAATATCATCAAAAGCTAAGATTCAATGTAGAACAATCTAAGAATTATTGCTCTCAATATTTATGGGAGAGATTGATTTTACCTCAAAATTGATTCTTTCATTAGCATTGTTTTATGTATGCATTATATTTCTCTCCTTAGATAGCGGAAGGAAAGTATTTATTTGTTTGCTAGAATACTTATCAACCATGTGATGTGTAGATATTTCTTTGGGAATGAATTCAACTAAACCTGTCTTAATCTATTTCTTTAATTCATTCCTTTTTCAATTATTCTCATATCTTGCCTGAGCATAATGACAAGATCCTTCCTCATGATTCAGGTTGGTACTGTTGGAGGGGGCACACAACTCGCATCTCAGTCTGCGTGTCTTAATTTACTTGGTGTCAAGGGTGCCAATAAAGAGTCTCCAGGTGCAAATTCTAGGTTACTGGCCACCATTATAGCCGGTTCTGTCCTTGCCGGAGAGCTGTCACTCATGTCTGCAATTGCAGCTGGACAACTTGTTAAGAGTCACATGAAATACAACAGATCTAGCAGGGATATCTCTAAAGTTGCCTCGTGAGCTGGTGCAATTAACTTGTATTGGAGACTAATAAGCAAAACCATCGAATAACGACAAAAATGACAAAAAAAGGTATATTCGAGTTTCTGATGGAGTATTTAATTGATGGTGGGAGGAGTGAAGATAATCATAATCTGATGGTTTGGCATCTTCCATGAGTAAATCCAGCTCTTGAAAAGCATGTGGTTGGTTGGCATTTATTGAATATCTGCTCCGTGCGAGGCGTTTTCTTTTGTGTGGATTGTTGTACAGAGGGACTTGAATTAGAGGGTGGAAGAAGGAAAGAGCCACACTCTTGGGATTGGAGTTTTATTTTAATTTTTGTTCAACAAGAAATGCATGTGTTGTTTATTCTCTTGTTTAAAGCTGATGCTTTAATGACGTGGAATTTTAGTTGTAGTTTTATGTGTTGTAATCTCCATCTTGGTAATTTGTAATTCTAGCAAGAGAAGAACAGAGATATCTCCAAATGTGATGTAGAGTTGTTAATAAAATAGTCTCTGGTTGGTCAGCATTTATCTGCGTCTCTTCTTGGTGGTTAGCATGTGCAAAATTTTTGGATCTTGTTTCTTTTAAACGTGAAAAATAAGCGTAAGACAATATGTGGGAGAGTAGTGGAAGTAAAAAAGGGGTTGCATTGTGCATATGAATAAAGTTATATTCTTAAATATTTAAAAACATAAGTTTATTTAAAAAAAATAGCATTGTTTTTCTAGAAGAAAAGGGGACTATCAAATTGGTTATCAATATCTTTTCTAAGGATAATTCTTTTCTTGCATAAAGATTAGGTGAAGTCATAATTTACTTTTTTTTTTTTTTAATTTAGACCATGAGTTGTGATAATAACATGTTATTGTATATAAACTGTGTAGTATGAGACTCATCTTTTACAACAAAAGTTTTTTCATTTCTTGAGCTAATAATTACTTAAAGAGTGTATTTAGAGGTTATGATTTAGAGTGAATTAGAAGAGAAGATGGATGATTTACATAAAATAAAATAAAAAAAGTTAATTTGAAGGGACTAATTTGTAAAGATTGGAAGACAAGTAAATGTGGGTCTCATAAAAAAAAATACCTCCTAAATAAAGGGGATTTGCATGAAATTTTAGTTAAAGACAAAAACTTGTATTTATTGGTTGCTCTATTAAATAGTGGTTGAATACAATTAAAAATATAAATTTTAAAAAATATATTTTTTTTTCTATTTTTTACTTAATTTTAGTCTATTAAATAATTATAAATTTCACTGTATTTTTTTTTATCAAATTACTTATTTTCTCTCATTCTTTGCTATTCTTCCGCTCTCCCAAACAAAGGATAAGTCAAAACACCGCTTCTTCTTATATCTTATACAATTAACTTACAAGTATTTGATATTTTTTAATTTAACTAATACTATTAATATCTTATATTTAAAAAGTAACATAAGTATCTTTTTAGACAAAATTGTTTAATTTTAAAATTAAAATTAAATAAAGTCTAAATTTAAAATTTTCTCGCTAAAGGAAGTTCTAGTATAAAAGGAAATTCCGATTTTAATGTTAGAATAATTTTTCTTACATTTTTAATTAATAAAAAAAATCTGAATATTACTTTTATAATATTTATTATAAAGTCAATAAACTTTGCCTCATGGATAACGATGTAAATTTTTTAATACTATTAATGTATTTTAATTAAATTCTTAGAAACTTAATGTAAAAGAAAATTTTATAATAATTATGTTGATCAAGCTCAAGAAGAAGAAATAACTCTAGTTGGTTTTGATGATTATCAATAAGTCTCTTAAGATTTAAGAGTGCAACTTGTAGTTGGTTTTGAGTTTTGAGTCTCTTGATAAATAAGAGTGCAAATTGTATCTTATTTTGTGTGATTTTAAGCTTTGTTTCTTATGTGTTTTGTACTTTGTAAGTAACTTAGCATTTCATCTCTATCAAGATGATGATTGATGATTTAGATATATATTAAAATTGATTTGTAAAGAGAAATGGTATGAAAAATTGAGATATTAAGTTTTCACTTAAGATAATCGATTATTTCAAATAATAATTAATTATTTACTTTGTTTTTCAGTTGAGGAACAATTGTTGTAATAATTATTTTCTTATAGTGGAGTGCTACAAGTAGGTGCTTCTTGAGGTTCAAGAAGTGGTTTCTTTAATATCATAGAAGTATATAGCATGTGATATTGTGATTGTAAAATTTCTGATATTAAAGATTAATAGAAAATTTCAATTGGGTGATTAGGGACTGAATGTAGTGATCGAAGCTGTATCCGGTCAAATAAAACAATTAAATGCAGTACTAGGAGGCTGTCCTAGGTTGTCTCCCAAGGACCATTTATCTCTGTTAAAGGTTCAACAAAGTGGGGCAGGGGGGTTTGATTCAAAATCAAGGTTAAAACACAATAAAATGCAAAGTAGCACAACAAGAAAAATGAATTGGCTCCTTGTTCAGATTGCAACTCTCTTATCCCTGGTTCTCAAAAGATTTCTCTGTTCATAACTTAATCCTTGTTCCATCCGAGTTAGCCAACTAAGCGAAGATTAACTTAAGATTTCCCTACTCGAATTAAGCAAACGTATACAACATTAAACCTCCCCACAAGATTAAGCAACCTGTGACTTTGGTGCAGCAACCTGATTCATTAAGCATGAACAGGTGTTGAAAACATTTTAACACAGAGGTTCAATGAAGAAGAAACAAGCAGAACACAGATACATATACGAATAAACCTCAAATAGAGATTACAATCTGCTCAAGGAGTCAACCCCAAGGGTTTTAGCCTTCCATTAAAACGAAAATGCAGATACAACAAGGTAGAAGAGAAGAAAATGAAAAGTTTGTATTCATTCAAATGTAAAATATGCAGTTCAGATACAACCAGGCAGAAATGGAATGGAAGAAAAACGTGACTTGAGAGCAAAATGGAAAATGGAGATACCAAACAGAGAGAAAAACGAAAAAGAATGGAGAGGAATGTAACCCTAACGTGGTCACATCAGTTGGTTAATGTTAGTGGTTACCCAATCAGCCCTAACCTAGACTCCTAAGACCTAAGACACAAATGGGCCCCCTCTGGATGTGTTTGGCCCGAAAATGAATAAAACATGGTTAACAAAAATGTAAGCATATTGCTGACATGGCGCTGACATGGCACTGTAGTGCTAACATGGCGCTGACGTGGCACTTTATCTCTTGAAGTCCAAAATTAATATCCAAGCTCAAAAATGCTTCACAATTAACCTGAAAATAATTGATAAAAAAAAATTAGACCAAGTGAATCAGAATTAATTAAAATTTGAATTACTGGCCCAATGAAGCCCAAACAGTAAAACTGTACAATTAATAAGTGATTAAGCCCAAATCAACAATTAAAATAAGTACAGAAAGATAAATAAATAGGGGAAAATAATGACTCATCATGTAGGTCATAAGTGAATGTGGTTATACCAATATAAATTGATTGTGCATTTTTCTCTCCCTTTATACTTGACATTACATTCTTTCATTTCTATTTTCATGCTTATTGTTATGCGTTGTAAGCCATGTACATTGCATTAAGAATGGAGTGAATTTAGACTTTCATTGAATATAAACTAAATATCCTATATACAAGCTATACATCAACACACCTTTTTGGAAAGATTTAGAATTTTTTTTTCAAAATTAAGATAGTTGTGCAAGAAATTTTTAATAAATCAATTCACCCCTCTCTTGGTTAGGCCATCTTTTCTAACAAATTAATCATTCAAGAATTTTTAGAGAAAACATTAAAAAAAAATATTGTTAAATAACAGTGAAGTTATAAACCACAAAAAAACAAAGGAAATTAAATGTCTTTCGATCCATGAACGATGTCTCGTATATGTTACATATGAGTTTATTGAAATTGTCTTTTAAAATTGGTAGTATAAAATTTTAAAAATACCAATAATGTGGTATTTCAATATTACTTTTAATTTATTCTTTTACTATTACATTTATGTGAGGTTTATTAAATAAGGAGTAAATTCATAATATTTAATAATTCTTATATAAATTCACATGATAATAAAAATATATAAAAAATATTTTACTTGCATTTTTTTTTAGAAAATTCATATTATAGTAGCAGTTACTTGATAACCCAAGTTTAATATCATCCTCCTTCTTAAAATAATAATAATAATAATAATAATAATAATAATAATAATAATAAAATAATAATAATAATAAATTAAGATTTCATTTGAAATGGTTCTTAGTTGTAAGTTTCAAAGTTTTTAAAAATCAAATGGTTTTTGATGGAGGACTATCAGAAGAGAGATCACACATGAAGACCATTAGCCCTTTAACTAGGTCCATGGTTAGGAGGTTAGAGAAGGCTTCTACAGAGGAGGTACTTCCTAAACCTATAATCTACATGAGTATTAAGTATGATTCCTCTTATTAGTCTCTATTGTATATACATTGTATAGTACTTGTACAAAGTAGATACTTGTATATAGGTATATTTTTGCCTTTGTATTTGTGAGGTACCTTTGTCTTTCTTTGTAGGTCATACCCTTAGGATTCTAGGGTATGTTACTTGGACACTTTTGCTCCATTTGACCTTGTATTAAGGGTTATTGATTTTCTTATTTTTAGTATTAGAAGTGGGGTGGAAAATAGCAAGTGTGTAGGTGAAGCTAGTAGTTGGGCCCTTAGTGGGCCTAGGCTAATTTTTATATATTAGACTTGTTTTGTTCCATTTAATCTAAGGAATTGATTTAGCTAGGTCTCACCTTCATTTGGTGAACCTAACTAAACCAATTCCAATATTTTGGATTGGATTAAGTGAAGGAAAACAAGCAAGGCCGCTTAACTTTCTTACTTAGCGGAGTTTTGCAAAGCTTTTCCAACACACTTGGTTCTTGTTAGCCAAGGAGACAAGGTAACACTTGACACCTCTTTATTGACTCTTATAGATCTAGGTGTCTCTTCCTTGTCTCCTCTAGAGACAAGGTGACACTTGGCAAGCTAGGATTGGCCTATCTAGATCTAAGTGTTCCTAGCTTGTCTAACTTGCTCTGCAAGCTACTCCACCTCTATATATAGGTCTATTCACTTGTAAAATTCACTTTTAGATGATATATTGAGATTTCAAAGTTTGATTCTTTGAATTCTCTCTCCCTAAAAGTCTTAAACCTTTTTTTTATTTAGTTCAAATTCTCTTATCCTCTTCATAAAGAGTGTGGTGAGGATTGAAATGGTTCATCTTCTTCTAATGAGTGACATCACTTGAAGAGTTTTCTTCACCTCCTAAGTTGAAAATCGAAGCTTCTACTTCCATTGGAGGCTTAGGAGAAGCTTGAGATGTGTCAAGAAGCCAAAGGTCTCGGGAGGAAATTGAAGAAGCCAAAGCTATTCGGATTCTCTAGAAGGTTTCCATCAATTTTCATTTTTATTTTTAACCTCAAAATATACTCACTTTGAAAGTTATATATTCTTGTTAAAAATTAATTTAAGGATATGTTTGTATGATGGTGACAA